AAAAAAAAAAAAAAAAAAAAAAAATATTTAATTTCAACTCGCAATAATGAACAAAATAATTAAAAATAAAAATAATTCCGAAAAGAGAGGAAAAAAAAAAATAAAAAAGAAACAAAAGAACGACGGGAAAAAAGAAAACAACAAAAATTCCCGGAAATATTCCCGGAAATATTCCCGGAAACCAGCGAGAACGGATGGGAAGAAAGGAAAAAAAAAAAATTCCGATGTCGTTTTTAGCCATTCCATAGGGTAGGAAAGAAAAAAAAAATAAAAATTATGGATCTTATACAAAAAAATATATAAATATAAATATATATATAAATCTATATCAGAAATTTAGTGGAAAATGACGGAAAAGTTTTGTTTTCCTTCCTTTCCCGGTTTTTTTTTTTTTTTTTTTTTTTTTTGGGAAACTCCTGGAAAAAAAAAAAAAGCGGAACAAAAAATATAAAAAAAAAGGGAAAAACAGCAAAAAAAAAAATTATAGGAAGGATTTTTTACAAAAAAACGGAAAAAAAACGGAAAAAAAAAAAGGTTTTATTGTAAATACGGAATTTTTCGGGGCTTCTTTTCCTCTTTTCCCGGTTTTTTTTTGGTGTTTTGGATTATTTTTTTGGGAATAGCCAGAGCCTGCCTGGATCCGTGTTTTTTGGGGGGGAGGGGAAGGGGAAAAAAAAGCCGGAATTTTGGCGACCCCGCGGGATTTTTCCCGACGTTCCGACGTTACCGCCGTGCCTTTCCAATGGTTTCGTTCCATCGGCAAAATTCCCGGATTTTGGGGTGGGGGGGGTCTGGAATCCCTCGGGAATTCCGGGTTTTTTTTTAGTTTTTCCGAGAGTTTTCCCGGTTTTTTTTTTTTTTTTGGGAAAAAAACAAACAAAACAAAAAAGCGGATTTTTGGGATGGTCCATAATGAGCCTTAAAATTCCGGAAGTTCGTTGCACTTTGGCCAGGAGGGGGGAAATTCCAGGAATTCTCGGGATTTATCGAAGCAATTCCCACGTTTCCCACGGCTCCGAGTGAATCCCGATCCCGAGTTTTCCCCGTCCATCCCAAAATCCCGGATTTTTCCACTTTTCTCTTGCAAAAACCTGGAATTTTCCCTTCTTTTTAGCCCTAAAATCCTGGAATTTTCAATTTTCCCACCCAAAATCCCCCCAAAACCTGGAATTTTCCCCCTTTTTAGCCTTAAAATCCTGGAATTTCCCCTTTTTTAGCCCTAAAATCCTGGAATTTTCAATTTTCCCACCCAAAATCCCCCCAAAACCTGGAATTTTCCCCCTTTTTAGCCTTAAAATCCTGGAATTTCCCCTTTTTTAGCCCTAAAATCCTGGAATTTTCCCCTTTTCCGGCCCCAAACCTGGAATTTTTCCCTTTTCCCTCCCCAAATCCCTCAAAAATGTTGAATTTTCCACCTTTTTTAGCCCTAAAATCCTGGAATTTTCAATTTTCCTGCCCAAAATCCCCCCAAAACCTGGAATTTTCCCCCTTTTTAGCCTTAAAATCCTGGAATTTTCCCTTTTCCAGCCCAAAACCTGGAATTCTCCGCCATTTTTAGCACTAAAATCCTGGAATTTCCCCTTTACCCTCACCAAAACCTGGAATTTTCCCTTTTTTTTAGCCCTAAAATCCTGGAATTTCCCCTTTACCCTCACCAAAACCTGGAATTTTCCCTTTTTTTTAGCCCTAAAATCCTGGAATTTCCCCTTTACCCTCACCAAAACCTGGAATTTTCCCTTTTTTTTAGCCCTAAAATCCTGGAATTTCCCCTTTACCCTCACCAAAACCTGGAATTTTCCCTTTTTTTTAGCCCTAAAATCCTGGAATTTTCCCTTTTCCAGCCCAAAACCTGGAATTTTCCGCCATTTTTAGCACTAAAATCCTGGAATTTCCCCTTTTCCCTCACCAAAACCTGGAATTTTCCCTTTTTTTTAGCCCTAAAATCCCGGAATTTTCCCTTTTTCCTTTGCAAAAACCTGGAATTTTCCCTTTTTTTTAGCCCTAAAATCCTGGAATTTTCCCTTTTCCAGCCCAAAACCTGGAATTTTCCCTTTTTAGCCCTAAAATCCTGGAATTTTTCCCTTTTCCCTCCCCAAATCCCTCAAAAATGTTGAATTTTCCACCTTTTCAAGCCCTAAAATCCTGGAATTTTCAATTTTCC